CTCCACCACTGAACATGTTTAAAAACCACACACATTACTTTATGAATGATAGTTTCAGGTATTTTCTGGATAATTTCATATCAAAACAAACCACATTTTGGCATTATACTTTTTATGGTGGCTCAAATAAAAGGTTTTTACAAGTGAGGAAAATTACTTTTTATTTTAAATATTCAAATCACATTTTCAGCAAAAATCTGAATCTTTGCTTTTTTGACTATTATTTTATTCATTAGGTAGTTTGCTATTTTCACTTTTTAAACATCAGATGAATTCAAAGTTTTGCTCTTAAGCTTCAATTCAGAATAACCTGTGGGAGCCCATCAATGCAGCCAGTATGCTGGGCTTTGAGACAACTGACCATCTTTTCCTTTCCTCCCTCTAATTATTGCCTACGGCTAGGATGGAAAGGGGCAGGCAAACAAACCGACTGATGACAGCTGGGCACCTCAGAAATTGAATTTCATACACACTAAGCCAACCAGCCCTTTCTGCTTGCCTCCTATCCTCACACACACAGAGGTCGGAGGTCGGGGCTGCTGGACCCCACGTCACCTGAGTGCAGGGCAGCTTTGTGGTTACCTCTGACAAAACAGCACTTACAAGAGCTATTTTCATCTGCTCATGCAGCTCCCTCTCTCGGGTCTGGAGCTTTCTGGCCAGTTCCTGCTCTCTGCTGGCCAGCTCCTCTGCATGCAGCCTCTGAAGTTCAGCAAGTTGTTCTTCTGAGGTCTTCTGAAAACAAGCCAGAAGATAATGAAAACACCCAGAAAAGCCATGCCACTCTACAACCAAGTCACCCTGCCCTGAAACTAAGCATGCTAGTAACTTAAGGAAACATAAGAACACACTCCAAAGTCAGAGGAGTAAAAAGAAAGCCCATAAAAGAGACTGAGGGTTACATGGGGCCCTATGGGGCTGAGGCTGCACTTCCATACAGTGAATGCCCTGCTGGTCAGGGAAGAGCAGAGGGGACGGGAGGCAGGCAGGAGACAAGAACGCTGCACTCGGAACAGAGGCTTCACTGTGGTCAGGCTGCACCTAGCTTTCTAGGAAGGCATTATTTATTAAAGAGTTACTGGCTTTGCTCTTTCTTGAAAAGAAAAACTCAACTTCATAAAACTACCAAATTCCCCCATATAAATCTAGAAAGTTAATGTAATCAAACACCAAAAGAATGATGGAGACTGCTCAGGAGACAAAGATTTACATGTTAGAATAGTCAACACTGAGCACTGCCCCCAGCACTACCACCAACAGAAGAGGCGGCGAGGGGAGGCTACCAGGCAGAGGGTGATTGCTCAGACACAGTGAATACCACAGTGCCGCAGCAGTGCGAAGCACCCAGCACCAAAAAAAAAAAAAAAAAAAAAAAAAAAAAAGAGGACACATGCTCAACATCTGGCACACTTATTACACAAAAGAGATAACAGCATGTCAGGGGCAAAGGGCACATTACTCCACACATGGTTTGGAGTAGGATGGGAGTCCCTGGGAGCATATTATTAAATACATGATTTAGAGACTGCCAGCAGTGCCCTGGGAAAAACTAAATTGGATTTCAACCTTATTCCTCATACCAAATATATTTCAGTCAGAACAAAGATGCAACCACAAACAAATCAAAGTATCCAAATGTCAAAAGAAAACAACAGAATTGGAAAAAACAACAGAAACCATAAAACATGGTGACTCACATCTATAAGCCTAGCATTTGGGAGGCTGAGGCAGGATAGATAGGGGCTAGCCTGGGCTACATGGTGAATCCTGTAATTAATTAATTACAATGTAATTAATTAAAACCCAAAATAAAAATACACAAAAAAACAGTGGTCTCAGAATTGGGCATGTGTGTACTTTGCTTTTTGTCATGACTGGACTGAACTAGGGCCCTGCATGTGCCAGGCATGTACCCTGCCACTGACCTCTGTCCCCAGTCCCCCATGTGTGGGTTTTGTTGTTGTTGTCGTTGTTGTTGTTTCTGTTTTGTTTTTTCGAGACAGGGTTTCTCTGTGGCTTTGGAGTCTGTCCTGGAACTCACTCTTGTAGACTAGGCTGGCCTTGAACTCACTGAGATTTGCCTGCCTCTGCCTCTGGAGTGCTGGGATTAAAGGCGTGCACCACCAACGCCCAACAGCCCCCCATGTGTTTTACAACAGAGCTGAAGGCAGACCCTGAGATGGCTCAGCACTTGCAGCCAAACTTATAATGCTAGTCTGAGTCCTGGATCCAAGTAGTGTAAGGAGAGAACCAATTCCCTCAAGATGTCCTCTAACCTACATGCACAAACAGCAAATAAACAAACAAATGCGTGAATGAGTGTAATTAAAATTAAACACAACAAAATCTAGGAGGCAGTTAAAGCATAAGACTAGTAATCTTAAATACCAAGAAAAGAAAACTTCCTATTCAACAGAAAAAGAGTATTTGAATAAGTTCCTTATAGCCACAGGGCTCCAGCTCCCACTATCAGTAAAGAGCTGCTACAAACAAATAATAAAGACAACGAACTGCTCAACCCAATATAAGAACAAGTGCAGGGTTTGATCAGGCAGCTGCCTGATCAAAGTGGAAAAACTATACACTTCTTTTCAGCAGGAAACACTCATCATGCTGGCAAGACTTCTGCACATAAGAACGACAACGACAATGCCTCTTCTTTCCCTCTAAACTCAGAGTAAAAGGGAAGCAGACGATCTTTGTGAATGAGGGGGACTTCCAACACATGGCTGTAAAAGTCTACACTGTCCGTCACAGGGCTTGGAGCAAGCAGGCCAATAGTTAAAAATACATACAATTTTTTTCTGGAGAAAAAGTGGATTCACTTTAAGGAATCTACCACAAAGGAATATATAGGAGAGCCAATACGTATAACGCTAGTATATGTAGCATGAGCAGTAGAAAACCCTGGAAATCCAATACCATCAGCAGGACACAGACTCAAGCATGAAAACGTTATACAAGGGAATCTGGAGCAGTCTTTAAGATAAACGGCACCATGACCAGCTAGCCATATGTACAGTTCTGACACTAAAGGCACCAAAAAACAGAAACCAAATGTAGGGACCATCTCTGTAAGCATATTTAAAATGAAACTTGTTCTTTCTGGAAAAACTAGAAGGCGGGTGGATACCCAGTGTTGTGTATGCTGGGTAAGCCCTCACTGTCTGCTTTTTACCCTTCGTTCTAAGTGTGTACTCAATGTGCATGTGGAGGGCCATGTCCAGTGCCTTCCTCAATTGCTCTACACCCTACTTTTTGACACAGCTGGGCTGTCTAGGCACCTCCCCAGCCTCTACCTATCTTTGCTTTCCCAGCCTTAGGGTTACAGGCATGCACAGCTACATGCAAGGCTTTCTCCTTGGGGGCTGGGATGCAAACAAAGGGCTCATATCTGCATAACAAAAACTTTACTGCGCCATCACCCCAGCCTCATCTTTTGACTTCTGTCATATAGTCATGTCATTATCTTCAAACTCATTCACAGATTATTACTGTTGTTAGAGTCCACACTAACACTTATCATATCGCATGGCCAGTTAAAAATGAAAATATATTGCAATTCCTCCAAGAATCTCATGCTGAGCCAGCCAGAGGGTTGTCTGCGAAAGAGATTTACACTAAGACAGACTGACCCACAGGAGAAACTGAGGCTGAGACAGTCAATGCTGCATAGGGCTACATGAGCAGTGCTGGCTCTATCTAAGCCTAAACCCCAGATGGACTAGGTGGGTGGTCACCAAATCTCTTTGTTCCTCTTCCCAATGAGGCAACATTCAATAGCCTCCCCTTTTTTTGCTTTTCCATATTAATATATATATAGTGAGACAGTTTGGGCCAAGGCCATGTATATCCAATAATGGACCATACATAACTGATACTTTTCGAGATGTTTTTATGGCCCCACAGAAAGAAGTAAATGTGTGAAAATTAGTTTTCCACCCTCTGAATCCATGTGCACAATATATTTACATAGTAACTCCTCTGCACTAATAAGGAAAAGGCCAGACCCTTCCAGGTCATCTGTAAAATACTTGCTACAGCACTTAAGTAACCATAACCAAACACCAAGAACAGAAACAATGAATTGATACATGAATAGGATACAATGGAGAAATAACCAGTGAAAGCAAGGCTGAGATGAAGAGGAAGGATGAGATGGACTGGGTGAGGACCAGGCACTGCACGAACATGTTTACCTGGCTGGAAAAACTGGAAGCTCTTTCTTTTTCTTGTGCATTTGCATGGAGTGTGGGGTGTGGCTGCCCACATGCACACATGTGGAGGCCAGAGTCTTCCTCTCTTATTCTATAACTTACTGCCTTTGAGACAGGGTCTCTCATTGAATCAGAAACTTAAAGTCTGCAGTTTACAGCTATGCTGGCTGGCTGGCTGGCTGGCTGGCCCACCCGCCCTCCCCATCTGCCTGCCAGTCTACAACCACGCCCAGGTTTTCGCCTGGAAGCTGGTGACTCTGATTCACACTCTGGCCTCATGCTTGCACAGCAAGCACTCTCACCGACTGGTCAGCTCAGTCTCAGACTCCTTATTCATAAAAGACAACTTCATAAGCTGGGAAGTGGTGGCGCACGCCTTTAGTCCCAACACACACTCAGGAGGATCTCTGTGCGTTCGAGGCCAGCCTAGTCTACAAAGCAAGTTCCAGTACAGAACTATACAGAGAAATCCTGTCTCAAAAAAAAAAAAAAACAAAGAAAAAAACAGAACTCCACAACTTTATAGACCTGAAAGATGGCTCAGCAGGTAAAGGCACCTGGCCCTAAGCTTGATGACCTGAATTCTATCTGCAGAACCCACACGGTAGAAGGAAAGAACAACTCTGAAGCTGTACTGACCTCCACACACATGCTGTGGGACTTATTCATACACACATAAATGCAATGATCCTTTTAAGTTCTAAAAGGACAACTCTATATAAAAATTACTCACTTTGAAAATACCTACATGTTTTTAAGAGTAAGGAGGACATTAATAACTATCTTGTCAGGGGCTGGGACTGTATAGCTCAGTGAGTGGTAAACAAGTGTTTATCATAATCCTCACCAGTGCATAAAAACCCAATAAACCAGTAATTACCCTTGAAAACATTTAAATACCCAGCCTTAGTCACATGTTCCTAAGTCCTGAGTTCTGAAGGTATGCACTGAAGTGGCTGAGCAATTTACCTTCATGGAGGGAGCCTCAGGGAAGGCAGCCAGTAAGGAACAGCACAGCTGGAGAGGGGCAAGGCTCTGAAGGACCCAGAGACCTGTCTAAGAAGGAAGCTCCCTACCAAAGTGCTCTTCACTGTATCCTGAACATCACTAAGTGCCCAGGGTCTACAATACAAACTGACTTTCTTACAATCAAAGCTTTGGAGAAAAAAAACATGGACTGAAGCCATTGTGATCCAAGTCACTCTTACTTTCATCATGTTGACGGCCTCCTGTCTCACCCGACTCAGTTCCTGCTGAAGACGGAGACGCTCCTCCTCGCTTGCTCTCTCAACAGCCTTTATCTGTTCGTCCATCTCTGCCTTCATCCTTCTCTGTGCTTCTTCAGTTTTTTGGGCTGTACTCAAGGCTTTTTCAAGTTCCTCAAAAGCTATAATGAAAATAGCGAAAAACAAGTTTCTCAAGAAATCTTATCACTGAGCTCGAGCATCTCACAGTCACTTTACAAATCTAAGGGCAGCTATAGCAGGACAGGTTGGAAGACGCATTGCTGTTCTAAGTCAAGAGATACATCTGAGCTGTTCAACAAAGCTTTCACCGAGTGTCCCATCAGAAAATCCACGTTTTGTTCTTCATGAGTTCTGGATTAGAAAGCTAGGGCTGCTTCTATGAGCCTGAGCTCAGACTTTGGAAATGTATTAAATCAATAACATTTCCCTGCTCTCCCCACCAAGTATGCTATGGCTAACAAGTTCAAGAACAGGTCAGACCATTACTCTGTACAACTTTAGTTACGTTCTGTTTGCTCTACAGTTCTTAGTTTCTCTGTCATCAACAAGTGGGTAACCCCATTGTGTACTCACTAGGACTTTCTCGTTTTTTGTTTTTGAGTCAGGGTCTCACTATGTAGCCCGGCTGGATTCGAACTTGCAATCCTCCTGCTTCCTCTTCCTGAGTGCTGGGGTTACAGGCATGTGCCACTATGCCTGGCTCACTAGGACATTTTTAAGAATGGAAAAACAATTCTTTGGCAAATCTTATTTTCAGACTTTTTAACCATAATATAAAAGAGCAGGGGTTTTGTTTCTTCTTAAAAACATTTACTGGGTGAATCACGAATTTAAACAATGTACTTCTGAAATGAAACGCATGACATGCCTAAGTTTCCAACTAGGGCTGCTTCTAGCTGACTAGAAAGAGAACTACCTAATACAATGGCATACAGAAGGCTCTACCAACAGCTCATGGGTAAGGTAAGTTCAGGCCCTGTAGACATAATCACCTTTAAGTCTCTAAGGGAACAGAATCGTTCATTCAGCATCCAAACCAAGGCATACAATGGGTTCAATGGCTAGCTAACTTGGGTGTGTGTGTGTGTGTGTGTGTGTGTGTGTGTGTGTGTGTACCTGTAGACATATGTGTGTGAATACATGTGCATGTGTGTATGTATGTGCAGATCCATATACACATTATGAACAAATACCCTATGAAAATCCTATTATTATTGTCCTAGATTGTTCTCTTTAGGCCTTAAAGAAGTCCAGAGACTTCCCGCTACACACTCAATGGTCAAGAAGGATTTCCAATTCCATCAAGAAACAGTCCATAGGAGACAGTTCACCAACACATGTAGTGTACCTTGGATAAGTAAGTTGTTTTAGGAATTTGGGGGCTTCATCTTAAGGTATCATACTACAAAGGCCTTTTATTGACCCCAGGTTGGTTGTTGACAATGGTTTAGATATAGGAACTATTTACCTGAGCACAAACACCTATTCTAAAGCAGTTTCTCAATAGTAAATAGCATTAGGTACAGAGGGGGTTATGTATGACTCAACTCTGGAAGCACAGGTCAGTGCTCAACAACATTAAAAAGTTAATATTTCTGACAACTAATAAGTCTTTGGTACAAAATGCAAATCTACCCAAATTATTCATCTTGCACACTTAACACTATAAAACTGAGGCTCAAATAACCTCTGTATTTCAAAGGAAGAAGAAATTGGCTGAAGCTGGGCAATAGTAGCGCAGCCTTTAATCCCAGCACTCGGGAGGCAGAGGCAGGTGGATCTCTGTGAGTTTGAGGCCAGCCTGGTCTACAGAGTGAGTTCCAGGACAGCCAGGGCTACACAGTGAAACCCTATCATGAACCCCCCCCCCCTAAAAAAAAGGAAAAAATAAAAGAAATTGGCTGCAATCATTTTTCAAGAGTCTTAGTCTAATTATACATTTGCCTGGAAACACCAGGGTAATTCTTAAGACATGAAGATGCTGAAAAGTAAAATACTTAAAAACAGTATCATTGCTTTATTTAGCTATGTTTTTACTATAAATTCTAGTGTCGGGCACAGCAACAGCTAGCTCTTGCTACTCCCAAAACATTAGTTTCCTTCTTAAACTCATCCTGAGTAAGGGAGACTGTCTAAGAGTGCTCACATCTTGATTTGTACTGAAGATTTAAGGCTGAGAAAGCGGGGAAAATGGCACAGGAATGGAGCAGAAGTCACCAGCACATTTCCATTATTGTTTCTCCTGAAATCATCCACCAGCCTTCTAGTCCACACCACAGAAATCTCTAAAGTTCCCACTGCAGAACCTGAAGATGCTCCAACACTCACAATTTACAGGAAATGATGACAGGAGAATAGACTTCACTTAAATTCACTCTCCTGTTATGTCAGAGAACCAAATGATTTCACAGCTAGAAAGAACACTTTGTAACCTTCTAATCTAGCATCCTCAATCAAATGCAGTAATGGGGCACCCCAATCTTCCCTCAATGGGAGAACTTTAAATAAGGAGAAATAACCCTTGCTTTGTAGTATTTTGAAATCTAAAGGTACTGATAGTGACCAAGCTCAGCTGAAGGGAAATCTCTCTCCTAGCCAGGACTTCTGATCCAGTCACCTACAAGGGGCTCCCAGGTCTTAGCAAGATGGATGGTGCCATGTGCTGACCACCACAAAACTCACTGCCAGCTATCTTCTCCCTGCTTTAAAGAATATTAGTATTTTTCCTAAAGCACTCTAAGATAAATTTTAACTCCCCACATATAATAAACAGATGAAATGTATTTAAACCTGCCATGGATTCTAAACTATGCCACAGGAAAACCACTTTCACACAGGAACTCTGCTTCCAACAGTGAATCTCAAATGTTTAAATAGGAGATAATGAGATTGTACTGAGGAACCAGACATGTGTGTGACCCTGCAAACACCAACCATAATAAAGTGGTAGCCATATCCTACAACCATGTAAAAGTGAGTCCCCACTCTTTCCTAAGTAGGCTAGAATTTCAATCAAGGTACTAGAGAAGTATGTTCTGAATGCCTACGTCATTTACTTTCAGCTACAACACAGGCTAAGCGAGTGAGATGAGAAGCACGCATGACATGACCCACAGCCGACGAGTCATCTTCACTAACATGCAGGAGTCAGGGCACACACAGGGCAGGAAGGCCAAGCATGAACAGCCACAGTATTGGAAACACACACTGTGTTCTTCCAAAACAAAATTCAATGTATCTCAGGCAAGTTTTATTTTTAAAAAAGAAAGGAAGAAAATAACACTTTCAAAACTTATTAGACAAAAATGTAACCAACTAAATATGACTACATAATCCTTTATGAGCTAAATGAGATGCAGGGCTTCGATGTTATTGCAAGCTCCTCAGTTTCTACTTCAGATAAGGTTCATCCTGTCTATGAGGGGATAAAAATGGACCTGTGTTCTCCAGGAGTCATGTGAGCAGGACTGGCAACCTAATACAGTCCAATAATCTCACCACGTACTCATCAAATTCTGACTGGGTGTTCACCACATGCCAATTGTATGCTAGGGAGTAACTTACAGAAAACACTTACAAAGACAGGTGACCAAGGAGACAAAGGACATAAAAACTAACACTCAGAGAAACCTTTGTTTTCAACAGTCTACCGCCTCTCCCGCCCTTGCCCTCCCATTAAAGCAAATGGCAGCGCTCTGGAGTCCCAGAGTGTCACAGTTTCGCAGCCATCCCAGAGAGCACTTCATAGAAGGCTCACAGGGCCAGTTCTTCCACTTCAGGGAGATTAGCTGTTGACCCTAAGACACTGCTGATGGAATCAAAATGAGTAAGCTGGGACTATATCTTTTTTCCTGGGGAGGAAAAAAAAAGATGTGTCATTAGGGAAAAAACACAACTACAAAGGGAATGAGATGCCAATTAATACTAAAAGCAGTAAGACTTCTATCAGTGCCCTACCCAATCCACAGACCTATCTACAAATAGAGAGCAGAGCAGCAGGGTCCAGGAGCAAGACCCTTCAGAGAGCCTGGGAGATGCTCTCCTTTTCAAATAGCTATCGTATGGAACAGGCTTTCTCAATGCATTGCATGTCAGTAGACTGACTGCAGCCTAAAGGAAGCACAGAAATCCACCTGTGTTTCATTATGCCAAGTAACAGAGTACATAAACACACACTAAATTTTATTTTGAAAATTTGCATAAAAATCTATAAGAACAAATGATAGGCATATATTCTTATTTTGAAATTATGTGAAAATTTTTTAAAAATCAGTTTAAGCTACTAGCATGACCAACATCAGTACAGTGTCCCTGAAACTGCCCTGAGTTTGAAGTATATAAAGAGGTCCCTCTCTGGGATAAAAAGCTTGAAGGCTGCAACAGGGGTTTATGTAAACAAAGGATAAAATACTACCACCTAGTGACAGAAGCAAGTAGTGCAGTTCTCACATAAGAACCAGGCCTTCTGATGACAATAACAGAGCATCTCCAACTGAAAGCCACTGCTTGCACTCAGAGGCAGAGGCAAGGAGACCTCCATGAGTTCAAAGGAAGCCCTGGTCTATATAGCCAGTTCCAGGATAGCAAGGGCTACTACACAGAGAAACCTTGTCTTGAAAATGAAAAAAAAAATTAAAAAAAGAAAGAAAGCTACTTCTTAAGCTACTTCCCCAAACATGTAACAAGGCTCATTCTAATCACTGTGTCCTGAGTTCAAACACCTGCAGCTCTATCCAATACCTCATTTTTTAACACTACCTTAAAAAGTCTCTAGTCCTGAAAACTACTACATCAAAGCAAAGCTAAGTAAATTTAACTGATTAGCCACAAATTTATTCTTCCAGATGCTGAGGCTTTCCAGTAAGAATGACTGTGTTTGGGACATAAGTAAAAACCCATTAATAGTCTATTAAAAATGTAAGTCTTGTTAACAGATATTCATTTAGTATTAAAATATAAATAAATAACTTCCAAACATAGCATAAAGCATAGCATAAAGTTTACTTCAATTCACCTTTTTTTTTTTTTTTTTTTGCCTGAGAAACATGGAATTTTCCTTTAAAGGTTCATTCTAAGTACCCATCATAAGAATAACCATAAAGAAAGCCAGCCTTACCCCAGTCCTGTTCATACAAGGCTT